ATAAATTGATAAAATATGAGTTTTTGTGGTCTTATAAAGTGTGCAAATCTACATGCGGGGTTAAATCTGAACAAAATATTTCTTGTCATTTCATGTTTCACGTTTAATCCTAAAAAAAAATCAAAGATAAAGTCAGCACCATGAATGAAAACTACCTTCACTACCTTTTATATAGTCATTTGACCAATGGAAATACTGTGTATATACATAGGATAATAGGTCACAACCTTGTAACTTTGGCAACTGATGGTGGGCCAAATCAAATGGCTTGGCGGGCCAAACTTGGCCCGCGGGCCCCACTTTGGGCTCCTCTGATCTAAACTGTTGTCCTCCATCCATATTACAGGCTGAGTCATTTCTACCTTCTCCTCTCTGTCAACGCTCTCTGGTTTCATTTAAAAGAGTCAATAATCAGATATTGTCCAAGATTAACCTTCAGGGTGGATACAGCTCGCTCACACCGAGGACATATCCACGTCATCATTTACCCAGAATGCTTTGCATGTAAATAAAATGGCCCCGTCCGTGTAATTTATTTTAAAAATTTTAGTTTAAAAATGATAAAAACTAAACATCCTACTGTATTTTTACACTCTTTATTTTACAGTTAAAATATGTTTATTAAATAAAGTCTAATGTTACAACTAATCGGGGATCCCTTTTAAAATGTGCATATTTGTCAATGAGATATTTTGCTAACAGGCAGACAAAGAAAATGGGCTGTCAAAGGCAAAAACAGAACATTAAATGTCATTTTTCCTGGTTGACTGATTGACTCATTCTTCCCCGTCAGGAAAGCTTTGAGTGTTTAACCTTTGACCTTGCTCTGACTTCCTGTTTGGTGTTTTTTTTTTTTTTTTTTTGGTGGGGGTGGTGTTCTCTTGCAGGCTGATTTACTGGGTCAGCCTCAACATGTGCAGCTCCTGGAGAGGATTTGGCTCCGGCCTGACCGTCTTCCCGCTCCTCGCCGTGGTCGCTCTAAATCTGTTCCTCATGTACCGCCAAAATCTCAAGGAGCCCCTCTTTGGTTCCGTGGACGCCCACTATAATCAGGTCACCCCCTCTTCCTGGTCGGGGGAGACTTCTCAGAGCCCGAGTCGTGAACCAGCGGTGCTGCCCGCAGACATCCTGGACGCTCAGTGAGGAGGAGGAGAGCCGCGCTTTCTTCTTTTCCAAAAATAGGCCATTCCTGTGGTTTGCTGCAGAGCGCAGCTACGCCCGCCGCCGCTACAACCTCCAGCTACGTGACGGCTCAGCTCGCCGCTCCTCCCATCTGCAGACTTTTTCATGTGGATTTGTGTTTTACTATGCAAAAGGCACGAGCCCTGCCTGCCTACGGTCGACGGTGCCTTTTAACAACGCTGTAATCATAAAACATTTGTCTCTTTGAGCTATTCCAGCACATATATTTAACTACTCAAAAGCTCTGCTATAAATGCGGCTGCATTTGTCTCACAAAAACAACAAAGACGCTGCAGTTTTACTGTCGTGACAGTCCAGAATTTTTTTTTTGTACAAGCTGAAGACTGAATAAAAAAATAATTTACATGTGTATTTATTTTATTTTCAGTTATTGCTTCTTTTTTAACAGAGCAGCTTCTCCTGGAGAGACGACAATGTGTGTATTTGTTGTTTTTACATTTTTTTCATAATCTATTTTTATTTCTCTATACTGTATGGCAAAGCTGTATCAACAAACAGTTGAAGCAAGTTGAGAACTTGAAACATTGAAGCAACAGATTGTAAAATGTTTTGAAAGTAGAGAGACATATTCATCAGGAGCCTGTCATAGACTAAAGAAGACAGGACAACTGTAAAACACAACGTTCTGCTTACTAAAAATTTTCAAGTTAAGCTAACATAATTTTCACCAACTTGTTGGTTAAACTCTTAATTAGGTGATGTGAACTTTTGGATAGAAAATGCTTAATGACTTAATATATTTAAGTTAAGTCCACTCAAAAAAGGTTAAGTATTGAAAAGTAGTGGGGATTTTGGATTGTAAAAGTTTAACGCCTAACATTCTGGGCATGCTCAGATCAACTTTACTCTATTTCCTGCTCTACTAACATACCTGCTAACCAAAGAGATTAGCCTGATTCTGAACACATTTCTGAACTTGTGGTTATTCTCATCATCAGCTCTTATTTACCCATATGGTACACTAATTTGGTAAGTACATATTTGTTCTTTGTGTATATAAWTTTCTGTGTTATTGTTAGTTGATGCTAGTGTGCTGTCATAGTTCATGTGAAAATTTCCTGTTGAACAGGTTCTGGCCTCTTTAATTTATAAGGACAAAGTTTGCTACATTTWTGACTTTATAGTTATTTAACATAAAATGTGTTTGTACTGATAACATTAAACTTTTGTACTAAACAACATGGAATCAATGAGGCCATGTGTCATGTTCTAAGTCAGTCACAGCAGTAAAGTTAACTAAAAAGAACCACTCTACTACTTTGGGCAGGTCTTTTATCAGGTCAAAAAGAAAAAAGTTGTATAGGTCTTCTGGACGGGTTCTTTAACGAAAGGTTTCGTCTCTCCACCAAGAGACTTCTTCAGTCTGAGAGTTTCAGGCAAAATTCAGGCTTTTCAGCCCTGCCTCCATGTGACTGATACTCACATCACATGGCTATCAAACATCACAYGATAGCCATGTGATGTGAGTATCAGTCACATGGAGGCAGTGCTTAAAAGCCTGAATTTTGCCTGAAACTCTCAGACTGAAGAAGTCTCTTGGAGAAGAGACGAAACATTTCATTAGAGAAGAACCCGTCCAGAAGACCTATACAATTTTTTTCTTTTTGATTTTTTACCTGAATTACTGAGATGCATCAGGACTTTTATCAGGTCTTTTTGGCCGCCTGTCCTGAGCCTGGTTCTGGTTCTGCTGGAGGTTTCTTCCTGTTAAAAGGGAGTTTTTCCTCTCCACTGTCACCAATGTGCTGCTCAGGATGGGAGACTGTGATGAAGTGATTCAACACAAACTGCTGGTTACCTTAGATTTATTACATACAGTGACCTGAGACGATGTTTGAATAGTCTGAAATGTCTTTGAATTTGTACAGCCTCTAGCGTGGCGCTGTGACGTAAGTGACCCATAAATTTGATTTTCACAGGCTGTATATGGCAAGCCATTTTAGCACTAAAATCAGTTTTGTCTGACTATCTGTCAGCATTCTAAATATCTAAAAATATATTCTGACTAGGAACAACTACATTTTGAATTATGACTGAATTATGGCGGCACGGTGGCTCAGTTGGTAGAGCTGATGCCTCTCAGCAAAGAAGGTCACCRGTTCAAATGGGTAGAGTTTGCATGTTCTCTTCATGCATGCGTGGGTTCTCTCTGGGCACTCTGGCTTCCTCCCAAACACCAAAAACATGACTGTTAAGTTAATTGATGATATCACCCTATATGTCCATCCATCTGTAGTGATTATTTAACTACAATTACATTAAAGTTATGAGTAAATCACGAGTTCTTTTCTGTGTAAGGAGTCCTACTGAATAGACTGTTAGAATTTGTATTATGCCAAGAAAAAAGCAGCTAAGAAAAACGAGTGKCCATCATTACTTTGAGAAATGAAGGTYAGTCAGTCCAAAAAATTGGGAAAACTTTGAAAGTGTCCCCAAGTCGCAAAAACCATCAAGCGCTGCAAAGAAACTGGCTCATATGAGGACCACCCCAGGAAATGAAGACCAAGAGTCACCTCTGCTGTGGATGATAAGTTCATCCGAGTCACCAGCCTCAGCTGGCAGGTTAACAGCAGCTCAGATTAGAGCAGGGGTTCTTAACCTTTTTGACCTCTGGGCCCAATTTGTTAAACATAAAGTGGCACGAGGCCCAGTCAGACATTACYAATGTATGGATCAAAATGATATTTATTCTAAATCTTGGTTTAATTTTTATTGTATTTACATTATAACTAAATTAAATACACTTACAGTTTAAAAGTAAAACTCCTGTCAAATAATCACAAGACGTGATTATGACAAACAATTTTTTATTTTGTAACCTGCCCATAACAATTATTTGAACAAATACAATGGTCAGTCAACAGACCACTCAGGCTTATCGACATAAAAATCTATATTTTTAACACAAAAATAGACAATTCAATAAATAAAACTGTAGGCATAAGATAAATAAATTAAAAATGTTTACATGGTTCAAATACAATAAAAACTGTAAAACTAAATTTGATAAAGTACAAAGCCTTTTAAACTTTTGCATGGTAGAAACAGAAGCTGGTCTTCATAGTAGTGACAAACATTAACAGTAACAACAGCTTTTTGATAAGTTTAAACTTTATTTTAAAAAATAAACTACAAAAAATAATTTGATAAAGTGCAACTTAAAATATAGTTGTATCTGCAACTGTATTTGATGTTTTGAACTTTTAAAATACTGCATGATAGAAACAGAAGCTGTACTTCATATTATTGACAAACTTTGGTGTTTTTTGATGGGTTACCTTCATTTTTGCTTCTATTTTTCATTTGGCAGGTATCTAAGGTTCTTCTTCTACATATTAACAAAGTTGTCAAACATCTGAGTGGCGCAATACTGCTACTGGTGGTGAGAAAGTGTATTGCACCTCATTCAAAATCAATGCGGTCCAAACTTTAAAAACTGTTGTTCTTTTGAGGCCCTCAAGGTGGCAGGTCCATAGGTTAAGAATCTCTGGATTAGAGAACAGGTCAATGCCACACAGAGTTCTGGCAGCAGACACATCTCTAGAACAACTGTTAAGAGAAAAAAACCACTGCTAAGGACAGGCAACAAGCAGAAGAGACTTGTTTGGGCTAAAGAACACAAGGAATGGACATTAGAGCTGTGAAAGCAAGAGTGAAGGCAAAAAAAACCAACAAGTGAGCATCTCTGGGAACTCCTTCAAAACTGWTGGAAAACCATTTCAGGTGACAACCTCTTGAAGCTCAAGAGAAAGCCAAGAGTGTGTGAAGCAGTAATCAAAGCAAGAGGTGGCTACTTTGAAGAACCTAGAATATAAGAAATATTTTCTGTTGTTTCACACTTTTTTGTTCTTTTTTTGTTTATATTTTTTTAAGGATTCAAAGAACAAATCTTGTATTTTAATAAACATGTTTGATTGTTCCTTTGAATTTATTTCTCTTTCACACAAATTCTGACCCTTCTGCACACAGCAATAACACAAGAATTTATTCATATTTTGCCATGATAAACTGAGTTTTTCCATTCAGTTGTGTTGKAATAAAACTTTACCAGAACAAACTGTTGAAAAAAAAAAAAAGACCTCAGTGTGTGAGCCCTTAGTCCACTGCTGTGGACCATATTTATTTATCTATCTCTTAACAGTCTGAGCTTCCTGTCAGTCATCTGCCTTGAAGTGCTCACTACAGAGTTAGGATGAACAACTAAACCCACTAGGAAACCTTCAAAAAGTGAAGAAAAAGCAGGATAATGAAAGATAATCAGTTCCTACTAAAATAACTGCTAAAAAWTTTTAGCCGCAACAATGACAAAATAATATAAATGGTCAAATAGCCAAAAAAATTGTCCAATCTTAATTGTAAAAATGTAACCATATGATCTGTTTTCAGTACTGCACTAGTTAATGCACAAAATACTGACATATTTGAGTGAGGCGAGACCCATCAAATATGGCGGCGATATATGATGTGATTCAGCCCAACATGCCTATATGACACACTCACCTGCCTTGAYTCACATATGAACTTAAGTGAAATCCCATTCCTAATCCATAGGGTTCAAAATGACGGTTCATGAGGTCTTTCACTGTTTACTACATAATAACCCATAACAACATAACTTGTAAAATAATTATTGACAATGAAAACACGTCTGCCAAAAATTGGCACACTTCCTCAGAAGTGGCACAGCTGCCACTGCCACGAACTGAGCCTGCTGTCTCTCATGTCTTGGCACCAAAATGAAACCAAAATAGAAAAAGAGAAGCCCTTATATTTCAGTCTGAACTCTCAGCTGATTGATGAGCAATCTAAATTACAGTAATTAGAGGAAGCTCACTAACTAAAGATGCTCATAAGTCAAAAATACCAAATTTTCAAGCTCAAATGCTGGGATTCTACCCACTTAACCCACATGTTATTTTTATTTGAGRTTGCCAGCTTGACCATTTAAAATAAACACTTTAAGAATGCTCAAAACAAGAGCTGTGTTACATCTGTCACACAATACAAGCTTCTAAAGCAAAAACTTTAATTTATTTGTATAAAAGACTGATTTTCTGTTGATAAATTTGGCATTATGTCCTGTAGAGCTGTTTCACATAACAAAAACAAGGTGCTAAAAGTTCATGATAACATTTATGAAAGTAGCAGGTCATTGGTCATCTCTGATCGAGTGGGTCAAACTTGTCTTCGTAACTCTGTAGAAGGTTAATTTCCAAAAATACCCCTGCACATTCTGCCTGGTGCATGTTCTCTAAGGGCTGAGTATAGAAATACTTGATTAGATAATTCAAACTAACATAACCTTCATAAAGTGGTCACTAACTGCTCATTTGGCTGTGCACCCCATCA